ATTATAGATAGTTACTTATAATAGTCAGAACTTATAGTTAGGTTAGTTAGGTTTTCTAGATATAGAAATATATTTGAGATAGATAGACAATCTTCAAACCATTCAAAGACCTTCATAAAATGGCATTTACAATGGTTTAGGGTTTTTCTTGACAATGAGAAATGTCTGCTCCTGGCAGTACCAATTATGTCTGAGAGGAAGATGGGCATTGAAGAAACTTGTTATGGAGTTTGCTTTCAACATGGAAAGATTAGCCATTTGGGCAAGAAACTGCTCTTGCCTGGACTGCTTGACTGTTGCTGTAAAAACTTGACATGCAGTACCCACAGGAAAGTGACTGCTGAACTCAAACAGAACTATAGGGTTCCTGCTTCATGGAAGAGTCTACGAGACTTTGCAGGACACAGAAGAATGACTGGCAGACTTCCAATGCAGATGTACAGCTTGAAATTTCCTGCTTTGCTTAAAACTCTTCCAGACACACTGTGGCCTATGTGCTGAATATGGATGCCCCAATGTTACAGAGGAATTTCAGGTGACTGTCCAGGTAGCAAGATGTCTTTGTCAATTCTAGTATTTATATATTATCCTTCTGTGGTCTTTGATGGAGTTGAAAACAGATAGTTATAGTTTTTCTTAGTTATGATAAAAGATAAGTTACATATAAGACTTTAGACTCACAAAGATAGGATAGATGATATTTCTTTAAATCTTACTAAATATTAATGAACAAAATATTGTAACTATAGTTCTTACTTGATAACTGTTCTGTTACATATAATGTGACTATGTTAAAGTTAAAACCTTTCTTTTTATTTAGACAGAAAAGAGGAGATGATAGGGAAGTCCTGTATATATGTCAATAAAGCACTGTTGGCCAATAAGGAAGCAAGATAGGTGAGAGTAGGCATCTAGGAGGATTCTGGGAAATGTAGTGAACTGAGCCTTTGCCATGTGATCCCTGGAGAAGGGAACACAAGTCTGGTGTTCTCAAAAAGGTAAGTCCTTCTAAAAATATATATTGATGATTATGGGTCAATAATTATGTCAGAGCTAAACAATGAGAAACAATAGCAAATGGCCAACAACTTATAATTAATATAGTGTTCTGTGTGTTATTTGGGGGTTCAGACAACTCTGTAGGGCCAATGTGGCTGGCAGAGAAGAAAACACATTACACATATGCCATTATACATCCACGATAAATGTCCTCATAAAAGTGGGAAAAATGAATAGACCCAAATATAATGAAGGTTAAATATAATACATTTAAAGCCACCATTATAATACATGGGAAAGTTTTTTTTTTAATTTCAAGAATGTCCAGGCTCCTACTTCTACTCTTTTTAAATATTTTGCATGAGGTTTTTTCTAGAAGTATAAAACAAGAGATTACAATAAGAGGGAGGTTAAGAAAGGAAGGAAGTATTCTAATTATCATGATTGCAAATTTCATGATTCTACAATTCAAGAAAACAAAAGTTATCACCAGAACATGATTGCATTTGACATCAGTTTTTCAGAAAGTAAAGAGATGTATGGAATAAAAACTCATAGTAGGTTTTCTATGTATCAAAATGACTTTCACAAGAAAATGTCAGAAAAATTGTATTCACGCTATCTTATAAAAATGAAATAATGTACTTAAAAATAAACAAGAGAAATCAAAGTTTTCTACACTGAAAACTTTAAAACCTGGAAGTAATATGTTGAAGGAGACCCTTCAGGATGTATCGAACTCTAAACTGAGTAAATGGAAAAATTAATGTTATTAGCATGGCTGTACTACCAAAAGCTGTAGATACAAATAATTTCCTTGAAAATACTATCTTAATACTAATATGGAATTATTAGATATCCTGCTGGCCAAGTTAACCTGACAGACCAAATCAATACTATATGAATGCCACACCCAGTTTCAATTTGAATTATAGTAATAACAACAAATAGCAAGGTTGTTAATACCCACATAGGTTAAGAAATGAGGTCCTATGGGCAGGGAGGGTTTTGAAGGGAATACAAATAGTAGTGGTATAGTAATAGAAAATAAAATAAAGGAACAGGAAAACTTCAATTGCATAGTGGGAGGGCAGTAGAGTATGGCATTTGTGAAGATACTTCAAAAAGGCATATTGAAGCCTACTACTATGCAAACTTTCATATGTGTGTGTACACATATATAAATTTCCATATATACATCTATTTAAAAAAGATAGAATCGTGTTACCCTGTAAGGGGATGACAATGTCCTTATTAGATGCCACAGGGCAACAAATCAAAAGCCCAGTGCCAAAAATAGATTGTGTCTTTTGGAGTTGTTAGCCAATGAGGTCGTATAGACCACAAACTGAAAAGCCTATTGCCAGTGTTCTCGGTTATTCTTGAGAACTTGATTTCTGAGAATAACACACACCTGTATCATAAAAGAGAAATCAAGTAATGATATGCCCATTGGAACAATAATATCATGAATGTCATGGAAGTAACTGACCGCTTTTCTGGTTGGATATATATAGAATCATAGTGAATCTGAGACAAAAGGTAGCTGAATATAATCAAAATGAAATGTATAAAATATCAAAAAACTAATAAAAATATTTTAAGTGAACACTCATTAGCTATCACTCATACACACACATACATATTATACATACATATATTCAATGTGTGTGTGTGTATGTATGTATGTATCAAAATTTCAGCCTTCACGAGAAACTTGGAACTCTTCTTGAATAAGAGTGAGAGAATGAGTATTATCTTTATCCTGGTTTTAGAAGAAATTTTGTCACTTTCTCCCTATTTAATGTTTGCTGTTGATTTGCTATGCATTACTCTTATTATTTTTAACTACGTTCCCTATTTTCCTAGTTTTCTGGTTTATGAAGAGATGTTGAACATTACCTGAAGCCTATAACTTTCCTATGAGATGTTCATGTGATTTGTGACTTTGTATCTATATGCTAACTGCATTATATTATTTTTCCCATCTGTTGAACAGTCATTGAATATTTACAATGACAATCATTTGATCATGATCAATGATAATTTTTCTGTGTTCATTAATTCAAATCAGAAGAAATGTTATTTTATGGTTATGTGCTTTCTTTGCTTTCATATTAAGATCATGCTGTCATGGTAGATTAGAATGAGTTTTATAGTGATTCCCAAGTTTCTAATTTTATAGAAGATTTAAATGAACATTAGCATTAGTTCCACTTAAATATTTTGTAGAATGAAGAAGAATACCAGAATCCAGTAATACGCTAGCACTTTCTGTGCTGAGACAATATATATGTTTGTGTGTGTGTGTGCGTGTGTGTGTGCGAGTGTGCGTGTATGTGTGTGTGTGTGTGTGTGTGTGTGTATAACATTTAGGTGTATAAACTGCTTGTCTCTTGGATTTCATACTTCACAATCTAATGACATACTAATGCACCAAAGTTTCCCATACCCTTTGCTCCTTTGTTTTGTTAGTCCTTTGATCTACATTTATTTTATCTTAAAGCGATGTGATGATAGTGGCATACGTTCCTGGGTTTTTTTATTCTACAATTTCACAATACCATAACCTTACAAGCTATATTATTATTTTGTTTTTTATTTGTGAGTCCTGACATAGATTTTTCTTGAGCTAGATTGGGCTACTTTCCCACTGTCTTATAGAAGAATACTAACTTTCAAAATCCATGTGCATCATGCTCTAAAATATCATGATTATTCTCACCATGTGTTTCTCCATTGTCTTTATGTAGAAATATATATAATAAAAAATTAGTGATGTCCAATATGTCTAATAGCATCAGTTCCTTACTGATTTCTTGTAGTGCTATATATTCAATAAAATTCTATCTTCTTTTGTTGAATATATGAGATATATTGTTATAGATTGTACATTAACTTATAGATATTTGGTATTTCTCATTTATCTAAAAGTATTCTGTCATACCATCAAAATCATACTCATAGTCAACCCACTCAATAAATTGACTGAAAAATAGAGCAAAAATATATCAAATTATCAAATATAAGTGAACAATTTTCTCATGGTGAAGGAAGAAAGAGCAGAGAGTAGAGGGACCATCACATTTAGCTCCAATTTCTATTGATAAAGACACTAAGACACTGTTAAGTTGTTCAAGAATGTGTTTTAGAAAACCGATAGTGCACCCCCAAGAGAGGCATTTACTACTTCTAAATAATAAATTTTGAGGTATAATCAGAAATTAGTCTTTGCTATTGTGTCATAAGTCATTAATGGCATTTTTCTGTCTCTAATCTCAAAGTCTCAAAAACTGCAAAGGAGTGTAAAGCCATAATGAGGGGGATGAAACATTGTAGGATCTGTTCATCTCTGCATTCCTTGCTTTGTTACTTCAACAACCTGAAGATGAGGGCAAAGTACTAAACAATGCCAGTGTGAACTAAACTTGATACAAGCTGAAAAAAAACTTGTTGTACCCAGAATGAATTGAACATCTGGAATTTGTCTAAGATGATGCTCAGGAGACAAGAATGCAGAACAACATGGTCGAAGACAGAAATTTAGAGCCATTTTACACTTGTGGTCTAATACACATCAAATTATTGATAAAATTCACAGTACTTACAGATAATGCAAATGCATATTATTTGTATTGTCAGTCAGTATCCTTCAAAAAGTCCAATAAATTCTCATTGACATTCAAAATGCAGCTGACAAATTCAATGTTTTTTATGGATTTTTAGGTACCGTATAACAGTAACACTATTTTTAAATTCTTATAGTTTTAATTCCAGGACTCTGAAGTAAGTTGTATAATGTGTTAGTTAGGTGCTTAAAATCTGTCATTTGTGAAATATTTTGCTCTTGCATGAAATCAACAAAAGGCATTTGGACCAATTGACTAAGACATTGGAACTTTCAAATAGTTTTTATTTTTAAAAAATAGAAGGGAAAATTTACAGGTAGTTTTGCAGTATTGCCTTATCAATGGGCATCTCAGAAGCAGATGGTAGAAATTTGCTGTTAGCAGTTACTTTGATGAATCATTCTGTACTTGAGGACCTCAAAGTAAGTGTTTACTCTGTGGGAATCTCTGAGCAAGCAGCGGATCAGGTTATAAAAGGAAAAATGGCGAACATCTTCATTGCTTGACTGTAAGGATGGCAGACCAGACCAGACAACGTGGGTATCATTATCCTTCTCTCCAATCTAAACATGATCACCATAAGGATAATAGCAAAGTATTAATTATCTTTTAGTATTTTAGATGTTTAGTCTTTCTAAATATAGATTTGTGACAGTACCTGTATAGTCAAAATTATAAAATAAACATAGATTTTCATGGATATACTTTACTGAACCCCTAATGAACATTTTTTCTGGTACATGTGAAATTATTAATAAAACGTTTCTTATAGGAGTTGATAGATGGACAACCAGCAGGTAGCTATTTAATTTTTGGCAAGGGTGAGAAAGGGGCAGTTGTTTCATTTTTATTATTGGACAAACGTTGTGTGTCCTCAGTATAGATTCAGCCTTGTTTTGTTTTGTTTTTTCTATATCATGGAACTTGGCAGTAAACCAGTTTCCCTGTTGATTTCAACCAAATCAGTCTCCAAATAATATGGGTACAATAAAGCCTAGAACAAATTAGGATTGCTTTGGATGGTTCAAGAGGCAAATATTCAAGGGATGACTGCGCTGGATCTGCTGAGGTAGTTAGACATCTGTCTTTCTACCCAGGAAAGATACTACAAAGCAAGAAAATTCTGGCTTCTTCTTCTACCCCGGGATAAGATGACTCTGTGTAAAGTATATTTGAGAGGTGTGGTGTTGCTAGTATCCATTTTGATACTCAGACTATAACAGACATGGATGCCTATATTTTCTGTTTCCAAGATTTTCTTTTTTTTTGAGATAATAAAATATATTATTTCCTCCCTTTCCTTTCTTCTTCCAAACCCTCGCATATACTGTTCCTTGCTTTTTAAAATAAAATTCATGGCCTATTTCTTGATTAATTGCTATTACATGTTCATATTTATATGTATTTGCCTATGTATTCCTATGTGTAACCTGACCAGTCTGTATAAAGTTACTCATATGTATGTTTTCAGGGATAACCATTTGGTACTGGAAAACCAACTCATGAACTTTTCCTTGATGAAGCCTATTTCTCCTATCTTAACATAACTTAGGTGCTTGGAGTCCTTTATGTGGGATTGAGGCTTTATGGAACCTCCTCTGAAGTCCTTGCCAGTTTGGTATATCTATTGATGTTGCTCATATTTATCTCATGTTTATGTAATCATGTTGCTGAGACTATGGATGAAGCTTCTGGCATTCCTAGGATAAACATTCTTATGTAAATTCCCTGATCCTATGATCCTTAAATCTTTCCTCCCCATCTTCTGCAATATTTCCTGAGCCAAAAATGTGGGGACATTTTGTAGAACTTGTCCATTGGAACTGGACTTCACAACTCTGTATGTTGACTGGCTGTGGTTTTCTCAAATAGTCTCCATGAACTATATTGCTTTTTATTTTTTTTTGCAAAGTAAAACATTGAAAATTATAGTAGTCATTATAAAGAACACCTCATTTAGGCATGAACAAAGCTAAGAACTGTCTGAAAACTGCTCACCTTGTTGAGTATTGCTTTAACTCCCATCCTGAGTTCTTCAAATTTTGCCTGAATCTCTCTGGCTTTGGAGAGAATAGCATAAGTGTCTCCTTGCAATGCAGACATTTCATTCACAAGATGAAACAGAGGGTCACTCCAGGAATACAGTAGACTGCTTATCAAATTCAGTAGTACTTCTGGCTAAGTAACCATAATTTAACAATCATATTAGAATAAATGAAATTAAATATATCCTATACAGGCAGATTTACTAAAAAAAACTATAACATTTCTGTAGCTATTAACATTATTTTAGAGATGACAAAAGTTGTACGTGTGAAAATGTAGCCATTAATATTGTTATGAATTTTGTTGAAGATTAAACACAGTGCTGTCAGTAGAGTACTCTATGAAGTTTCTAGCAAAATAATCCCTCTCAATAAACACTTACATTGCTTTCTAGAACTTGCTCCTTGTTTTCTGGAGTATCAAAAGAATCAGTGGGGCAGCTGTCGGGGAACCTGTCATTGTAACTCTTGCCCTGGGCATACTGTTTATCCTGAAAATGATGTAATATTAAATACGTTAGAGATTAGAAAATATATGAATGAGCCAATAACCCAAATTCTAAAACATTTGGTAGATATTTAATTTAAACTTACCCGAAGAGAACTGATGCTTAGAAAAATGAACCTAGACAACTATTAGTGGGCGGAGATGTCATAGATCCTATTACTGTCAGTTCTTAAACCAATGTATTCTGTAACAGTAATCGAAATACACATATCCACAGATAAGATTTATCTCACCCCTCGCTGAAGAAGGTTCTTCTTGAAATAGATGGAGACCATCACAGAGTTACACAACTGACCAAAATTCAGAGAATGAGTGACTTTGAGGTTCCCAATCACAACTGATACATCTTTAATGCAATCCTTTAACCTGGACTCTATCAAAGTATCTTCTTCATTGCTCTGCTTCTCTGTTCTTCTCCCAACTCAACCTTCTTGATCCCTCATGTTCTCCTGCTCCAATTTCTCCTCCTCTCTCTACTACTCATTTTTATGACCTCTCATGGGAGGCTTCACCCTATCTGAGGTGTGAATGGAGGTGGGATGGGGAGATGGTGTGGGGTTGGGAGGATGAGAGGAAAAGGGAACTGGGATTAGTATGTAAAATAAGATTGTTTTAAATTTAAATTAAAAATTAAAAATCCTAGACTCAGAGAAACTCTCAAAGGGGGAGTAGGGCAAAAAGCTTGTAAAGACAGAGTCCCAGAAAGCATGCTGATAGATAGCTTCCCCCTAGACATGACAGGTAAAGTGATCCCTGAATTCTCAAAATTATGCTGCCTGAACAAGACTAGAATAATAATAATACTAGTTAACATATTAATATGGGCAGGGGAAATCCCAAGTAGCCCTATCTTTAGATGAAGTGCTACAGGCGTTCCATGGCTGTGAAGAGAGGGCAAACAGTTGCTTCCTGAGATGAACTCCCATATAGGTTGTTTAACTCTAGGCAGTTAGACATAGATAAATGGACATATAAGCAGGAAAATGTGAACATACATATATATATTATACATATATATGCATACATACACATATATTTAACAGCAATAATAAGAGATCATGAATTTGTGACAGGAGGACATTGGATATTTTGGTGAAGAGAGTGATACTCTCATAGAATTAGCATTCACGTATGAAATTCTAAAACAATTACAAACTGATATAGAAAAAATTGAAATTAATGTTAAGAGAAAGACTTTTTAATATACATTTTAAAACATGATCTATAGTCTCCTTTTTCCCACCTAACTCTCAAATATCCCAAATTCCTCCCTTGTTTGTTATCCTCTGACTTCTTAAAAGTTCTGCAAGTCAACACCAACAATAGCAAAACTAAAAATTACTAAGTGTTGCATCATCTTTGTCAGACATTTGTTGCAAATGCCATAGTAACTAAGTGTGTACAGTCTCTAACTTACTTTTTAGACACCTTAATACTAAAACTTTACTTGCTAATACATCTGCATCTGTACAACTGTCATTTACCAATGTCATTGTGAATTCAGAGTGCTATTTTGCTGATTGTACCAAGTCATAAAATTCTTGGAATAATATTATTGGAAGTAATAAGCAATAGAAAAATAGCATTTTCAGGGGTGTTGGGAGGGCATGGGAGGAAGGGAGGGAAAGGGAGAGGGACCTGGGATTGACATATGAAGCAACCTTGTTTCTAATTTAAATTTAACTTTAAAAATAAAAATTAAAAAATTATAAAAAAGAAGAATAGCATTTGCATTTAATAATATTAATCCATTAATTTTCTATAATGGATTTATTGCTTAAAATCATTATTTAGAACTACATTCGTGATGTTTTTCATAGTTTGAAAGCATACTTAGGACGACTTCACATATTCAAGGCATTCTACCAAGAAATGAGAATGGCAGAAACAGTGTATAAAATGAATGCTGGAACCGTGTGTGTGTGTGTCTGTTATGCAGACTTGAGTCACATTTTAATATGTCCATTGATATATGTATAGAAGTGCTCACTGATTGCTCTAAAACAGGTAGTAGCACAATTTGCTGAATCATGAATGCAGGGCATATTGCCATCTCTACAGCAGAACTCCTTGTTACAAACACATGAATTTGAATTGCTTACAAATGATTCACTGCATTTGCAGATTTATAAAGAAAAATATTGAAAACTTTTGCTCCTGATAACCTGTGTGTATAACTCTACTGTCTGCAGTTCTCTTTTTCTGCCTATCTAAAGTACCCAAAAGAAGGAACACCAGTGTGGGCCAAACCACTAAATCAGTGGTTCTCAACCTGTGGGTCTCATCTGCCTCAGGGATCACACATCAGATATGCTGCATATCAGATATTAACATTGTGATTTATAATAATAACAAATTTACATATGTGAAGTGACAATGCAATAATTTTATGGTTGGGCTTCACCATATTATGAAGAAGTGTGGTAAAGGGTTAAAGCATTAGGAATATTGAGAACCACTGTATTAATAAATGGATAAAATTCATACTTTTATCTTAGCTATACATTTTATGGCTTTATGCCACGAGCATGAATTAAAACAAAGTTCAAAATTAGAGGGAAATATTAAAATTGTATCATGTGAGGAAATAGCTGACATTTCTTGAGATTGTCCCTTCCTCCTGTCAAAGACTTTAGTGGCTACTTCTTCTACGTATGCTCCTATATTGCTGGAAATTTGGGTCATGATGCTTTCCACTTTAGGCTATACAACTTCCCAGCCAGTAGCATGAAGGCCCATTTTATAAAGAAGCCGTAAGTCAGCGGATTACTTACAAATTCAGTGAACATTTTTGCAGCTTGGCTTCTGGTGATCTGAGACATAAAGGTAGTCAATTTAAACAGTTTCTCTAATGTCTTCTGGGTATCACCATCCCTCTTGACACAGATGGGTGCAGAGGTCACATTCTCCCGCAATAGCAGGTAGGACACCAGGAGCAGGAGCGGTGCCCTTGCTAAAGAAGAGAAGGCAGTCTGAGATCCCTTTCTCTTAGGTTGTGAAGAATCATCCCTTTTACACAGTTTGGTAGTTTTAGATATACTAAATGATAAACATCTTCCACTGTGCAAGTTAAGTTAATATATATTTTGAAATGTGACTAATACACTGAATTTTTAATGGTATTTTCAGACATGTTTCTGATTTTTCCTAACACGTGGAGCTTAACATAAATCAGGATGATCTCATCCTTGTCTCCCGTTTGTTTAATGTCCTGCATATTTTTCTTGGTTCTGAGCAATAAGACACTCAAGAATCTGTAATTTGTAGTTCAGTGTCCAATATTAGCATATTTGACCCTAATCTGTCAAAGGCAACATGTACAGGTTTGCTTTATCTTCTCTATTTGTAGAAATACATTATTTGCCTTTTTATTGATATTGAGGATAGAGAGAATGTTATCATAAGCATGATGCCACTGCCTGGACTTGCAAAATCAACTCCAAAATGCCATGTATTTACTTATTTGGAAGACATTTCATACATTTTCCTCTCAATTTTATGTTTACAATAAGCCTATGATTAAGCTTAGCAACATAGTTATAATAAAAACATAAAAAATAAAATGCATTTGCAGTTTATGTGATTATTTCATTGTTCAGTTGCTAGCAATTTTAGAAGGCAATGCACTTACATGCACGCACGCACGCACACACACACCCCCCCACACACACCACACCCCAAGGACTTTGCATATCCTTTGAGGCTGTGTTTCCAAGGGTTGTCATCATTACTTGTAAAGACCCACACTTGATATGTCACTCGCTCCAGGAATTTGATTTTATCTATTTTCTCTTCTCTGTGTAACAGATGTCTTTAAATGTTTTTGCAATGATCATTATTGGTTTCATCAGTTACCTTTACATGTGTCCTTTACATGGAGAACCACAGAACTGTAGCACATTAATAGTTTGCAACAGGGTGATACACCACCCATGTATCAAATTAAAAGGATATTTACTTTTGTTGACACAAGTCTGAAACAAATTATATTATAAAATGTGACTCTTATGATTCTATATTTCATAAGAAACTTTGTTTATACTAGCATTAATCTCCAACACAGAAAAATTGTGGGGGACAGCATGGAAAATATCAACACCCAAATACTTAAAATATTTAAATATACTGAAAATATATATAAAATACAGATAACAATTTCATATACAAATAAAAATACTGTCAAATAACTCATATTACTACATATTTTCAAAAATGCACATAATTTCTTAAATTTATTCTATGAGTGACATGTATATATATTAAAATATGTATGTGTACACTCAGTCCATTCATCAAATGAAGGAATTTCTGTGTCCAAAAAGACTATACATTACTTCCTTTTTCTATATAAAATGAAGTTCATAGTTGTTACTCATTCATTTTTCTGGAAATATTAAGAAAATACAAGCAAGTTAACATTATTGTGAGGTTATGCATCATTCTTTTACTTGAACCTAATTTTCAATATTCCATAAGACTCACATCTGCTATGCATGCATACATTTCTCTCCAGAAGTAACAATTTGATTACACTCATTCAAGTGAAAGAACTGATGGTTATGTCTCCAGAACCAGAGTATGTTACTTTCTTCCTTTCTAAGATGTTACTAATTTGATCTATTAGAATCTTCTGCTCTCTGGATTGGAGAGATGGTTCAGCTATTAAAGCTAGGCTCACAACCAAAAAATATAGAATCTTCTGTTCTCATTTCATCTTGATGTCTCCTAATCTGCAATTTTCACTTTTGGAAATGAACCGTTCCTTGTTTTAGATATACCCTTTTCATGTAATATTCTGATAAATGCCTGGTTTTTAATCCCTTGACATAGATAATGCACCCCACCACACACTTTGCACATCATATCAGTTAAGACAAACAAAATGTCTCTAGACATAACCACATGTCTCTATGTTAAGATGACTCTCTTTTGAAACCCACTAATCCCAGAATGTAATCTATTTCTGGAGAAAAATACACAAAGTATATCTAAAGTCTATGCAGCTTTGCTTCGCCTAATTAGTTATGAACAAAAGTCCAATTATCCCAGATAGGTTAACAATTATACCAATAAACAAACTACCCAATTACAATGTTCTAGCATCTATAGAGTAACTCAAATGAGGAATTACTTACAGGAAAATGTTGGAATCAAAGAGAGTGGCATCCCTGAGAAGTCACACCCAAGCTTGCCTGCTGATTCAGGAAATCTGCATCACTTTGGTCCTTTTCTTCCTTCTCTTAGCTTTCTACCTCCTATATAGTAGAGCACATCATGCTAGAGGGCACAAGGAAGTAACACCTGAAATCCAAATGAGATTCCCATGATCTTTGTCTGTTAGGGGTCAGTGACTGCAGCCTAGAATTCGTGACCACAGACATAAGTATGACTTGGGTGTTTATCTAATTTCCGGTCTGTTACTAGTGTCCCAGACCTGTTGTACATAGCTTCAGCCACCTCTGGTTCATAAATGCCAGTGGGACTTTTATACTCAAATGGAAAGAGCTATGGCCCAGACTTTCACTATTTTCTTCAGGTTCTTGTATATTCCTGTCCTGCATCTGCAATTCTCCCTGAACTATCACCATAGCAATAGGTTTTTATTCTGAACAGCTTATCCTTTGCAAGTCTTTACCAATATCCATGGAATGCTGTACAGAGTTTTACTTGCTAGAAAGATATAAGAATTAATACAGTTTAGAAGGCAACTGGTAGAATCATCAAATCTATTGAACTAAAAAATCGCAGAGGTCATCCAGTGAAGGACTATTTCATACTTAGACACAAATCTTTCAGCTGGATAATACCAAACGTATGTTCTATGGTGCTGAGATGGTCTTAAATACAATGAGAAAGTGCTTTGCTGAATTCAATAATGAGTCACTATTGACCCAGTGGTTATATCTTGCTTGGCTGGGTCTTCCATTATAATTTCATGGTGCAGGTACCACATTGACACTTTATTGCAGGAACTAGTGTGATGCCATGTGGCATGATGAAAGTTGCTTAGTATTATGGAAATGTTCACTGATTCTCGGTCTAATTTCTTCTTAACATAAAGCATGGATATGTATTATTAGTAATAAGTTCTTACCATTTAGTTGTGGCATACACCAAAATCATTGGCAATGCATCCCTGGTTTTGGGTCCAAAGAGTCTACTCCATCCAATAATTCAACGGAAGTTAACCAAATCTGACCTTGGGATTTTTTAACAAACTAATGATCACTGGTGTTACCTATTTCTACGATGAATTGTTCCTTCTTGCACATTCTCAACTGATATGATTACTATTCTTTTAGATTATTTTCCAAATACATTTGACATTAGGTGTTACCAGTATGAATGAATCCCCTATAGATAGTCATTGTATTTGATGGTTCACTGCATATGTTGGTTTGAATTAAGCATCTAAGTAAATGGTTCTAAACCTGTTGATTGTGATACCTTTGTGGAATTAATAATCCTTTCAAAGGGGTTCCAATAATGCCCATTAGATATATACATTGTGATTCTTAACAGTAGCAAAATTACAGTTATGAAGTAGCAACAAATATAGTTTTAAGGCTGGGGTCACCACAACATGAGGAACTGCATTAAAGGGTTACAACTTTAGAACGTTGAGAAACACTGATCTAAAGAAATCTGTAAATAAAAAAATAGGTGGCCCTAAATAATTTGAAAAGAACTCATTGTTTCTTTTTATGTGTAAGGAATGATTTGGGCTCCAACAAAATAATGGGCGGTACTAACTTATTTAGTTATCAATAATGCACTATTTATAGTTAATGTGCATTATTAAATCAATTGACCTGGGCTCATAGGGGCTCACAGAAATTGAAATGACAACCAAGAAGCCTGCATGGGACTGACCTAAGCACTCTGCATATATGTTACAATTGTATGGATTGATCCTCTTGTGGGACTCCTAAAACTGGGAGCAGGGGCTGTCTCCAACTCTTTTACTGGCTTTTGGGACCCTACTCCTCACACTGAGTCATCTTGCCCAGTCTTAATACATTAGGAGGTTCTTAGTAATTTTTGTTGTTGTTGTTTTTATTTGTTAGTTTTGTTTTGTTGTTTTTCAAGACAGAGTTTCTCTGTATTGCTTTGAAACCTGTCCTGGAACTCGCTCTGTAGACCAGGCTGGCTTTGAACTCACATAAATCTGCCTGCCTCTGCCTCCGGTGTGCTGGGATTGAAGGTGTTTGTCACCAATGCCCGGCTGAGGTTCTTAGTCTTACTGCTAATTGATATGCCATGTTTTGTTGATATTCATGTGAGACCTACTCTTTCCTATACAGAAACAGTGGGAATAGATTGGAGGGGGAGAAAAGAAAGGATTGAGGAACTGAGAGGAGAGGAGGGATGGAAAACTGTCACAGGAGGTTGCAGGGGTGAGCCCACAAAATACTGTCCACGCCCAAAGGGGTGGGGACAGGGGATGGGCACAGGTGAGATATTTAAGGAAAGTAAAAGGAAAACTTCTATATCTTGGAAGCGAACCACGTTCCCAGAGCTTTTATCCCTGTTCATCTGGTAAATAAATCGAATAAAAATATTAAATCTCTTTTTCAGATATTGTTATTGCATTCATCAGGAGGTTAAATAAATAAGTTTACAAAAATATGTATTAAATTAACCTCATATATCATATACCATGATATTGCTGCCCATAGCCTGTATCGAAAGCTTACTAAATAACTTGGCAGCATGGTGCAGGTGGCAGTGGCTTTGCAGGCATGAAAATACAAAGCTTTAGGAATCACTGATACTTGCTTCAAGAGTCTAGAATGCAAATGAGGGTGAGCAATACATGACAGGTTCATAGTCCCTTTGAAGAGTCTCTGAAAGGTCATTAGGAAGGTAAAGCCTAAGTAGTAGGATGATACCAAGTGAATCAGAGATATAGGGGTCCTGGAATGTCAGCTCAGGAAAGTATCAACCATGGAGCAGAGCCAGCATGACAGAATGTTTGTGTATATCAGACAGCAGAGATGGTAGATGAAGGCTAGCTACTCAGGTGCTTTCATCAGATATCCAAATGCTACCAGCTTTCAGTTTTTGGATGAAGAATGTTACTTCTTACCCATGTACACTGGACGCCTGTATCTTGTTTCATTTGGGGAATTTTGTTTTGCTTTGTTTTTATTATTTCACAGGACCTCACTATTGACTGAGTCTCAGAAGATGCTTTGGATTCTCAACAAAATCAGGACTTCTAGAGGATATGGGGACTCTTTTGAAGGTAAGTGGTGATGTGTGATGCCTAAAAGTTCTATGAATGGATGTCAAATTGACAAAGTTAAAATTGGCATGATTAAAATTGATTGTTTATCTAAAAGCACCTATTATCAGATAATGTAATCTTAGTAGATATCCACTTTTAGGAAATGAAAGCAGCTGCTTAATCCATCCCATCATTGCACCTACTGAGTTTGTTATTTCCTTGTTTCTCTTCTTTTTCTAATTTTCTTATAAAGGGATTCTAAACATTTTCTCTTATTTATGCAACATGCTATTATTTCAGTACGTCTGTGGATGCACACTGATAATTTTGAAATGATACATTTTATATTTTGCCAGATTTACCGCCTTTCATTCTTTTGATATTTTGTTCATTGTAAAGGATGCTTTAAAGAGTACTGTTTAATAATTTATACCTAGTTATACTTTTGTTGTGTTTTGTTTATAGAATTTTGCTTTCCTTTCATCACAATGAGAATACAATCTTTATGTGATTTCATTATGTCATACATAGACACTTATATTCAACTTGAATCTGTCACCCAAACACAACACCAGACATGAAGTCATAGGTCCTTAAACTGCACAGAAAGGAAGACATATCAGTATGCTTGACCTTTGTGAGTTTGTAAATGTTAGTATAACATTATGAAAGATCCCAAAGAATGGTTCTGATATTAAAGGTCCATATCTACCAACTACATATAAGTGTGGTTTGGTATTAACATTAAGCACTGAAGAAGATTTTTAATAGTTTTTAAAACTATAGTAAAAATGTTTAGGTCTGCTTTTAGACAATAGTGCTGATGAGACTTCCTGAGTGTAGTTTCTCTGACATTTCTAGAAGATGAAATCTGACAATAACCTTTCTGTGTCTTTGGCTCTTAGAACTTTTTTTTACCTATTATCTATTGATTCCTAAGTATTAGGTTTAGGAGCTGTGTTGTAGCTGTAATAACTAAAGAAATTGTTATCCGTGAGGAGTTAAAGTGACAAAAATGGGGAATACATTTTGAAGAATAATATTTCAGTTTTTAACTGCCTGGGAAATGATGAATCTGGACTATAATTGTTACAACTAAAGCTGGATTCCAGGACTGAATTCCATTTCTCCAATACTTATGTCTACCCTAGTATAATAAAGTTTGCCTTTTATATTGAAAGATACTAAGTTTGGATGGGTATCCTCATGA